GGTGTACAAGACAGTAGTGAGACCAGCTATGCTGTATGGGTTAGAGACTGTAGCAGTGAGGAAAAGACAAGAGGCAGAGATGGAGGTAGCAGAGATGAGGATGTTGAGGTTCTCTTTATGAGTGACCACGATGAACAGGATCTGGAATGAGCACATCAGAGGGACAGCTCAGGTCGACTGTTTTGGGGACAAGGTCAGAGACGCCAGACTGAGATAGTCTGGACATGTGCAGAGGAGGGATAGTGGTTATGTTGGTAGAAGGATGCTGGAGATGGAGCTGCCAGGCAAGAGGTCAAGAGGAAGGCCAAAGAGGACATATATGGATGTGCTAAAAGAGGACATGTAGTTATTTAGGGTAAGAGTAGAGGATGGAGTTAGGTGGAAACAGATGATTCGCTGTGGCGACCCCTAACGGGAACAACCAAAAGAAGAAGAAGAAGAAGAAGAAGAAGAAGAAATGGAAACAAAATATCCAACAGATGTGTGATAAAATCACAGAAATCATGGTTTACAAAATTACAGTGCTACATCAAAGAACTGAGCCACCACATTGTTTTGCCCTTGCTTTGCTACAGATTTTCATCCATTTCAAACTAATCTTCTCCATGGCAATACAGCTTCTGGTGTGCAGAATCCATCTTCTGCATCCTTTTGTTGTGATCTCATCACATGCGGTATTTACAGCATCAAGAAATGCCATTTGGTTTAATGATATAAGATCGTATACTTTCCATCTCCATGCAGGAAAACATGGATTCAGTGGTGAGTATGATGATAGGAACTTTTTCACTATCCTTGGTTGATGTGGGGCACTTTCCACAAGTGAGGCTCAAGGATCATCTGACAACCATTTAGTCAGTTTAGCTGTATTCACAGTATAAAGGTAAAGGTAAACACACGTTCCACTGTGATGTTTCTTAAATCAGTTTCAGACTCTGGTTTTTCAATTATTCTTCAAATAATGACAAATTTGTTTGATAAATCAGTGTCCTGAAATGGTGTGATGACAATGAGTGTGCAGCAGAGGGAGACAGAGCTGTAATGCTCCAGCTTTCCATCATATTGGGGGATGCTGGGAAGAGGAGGAGGAGGAGGAGATAACACTAGTAGTGGCTGTAGAGATGCTAACAGCACTGACACCGACAGGAGCTGCCAGCTAACACACACAGACAGGCAGGCAGAGAGAGAGAGATAGGTGGGGGCAGGCTAATGATAACAGCAGCACACACAATGATCAGTAATATACAGAGTGTGCTGCAGTGAGGCTTGCTGCTGTTAGCATGTTGTGGAGAGGAGGCTGACTGACCACACAGAGCAATGCAGTGTCGGAGGCCTCCTATTGGATGGTGAGTGATTTATCTCTTCAAGTGTTAGGGCTGATGTGCGTGTACAAATGTGTACAGTGATGATGTTGCCATGGAAAAAATCATCTATTCATACTGTGCAGTGTGTCTGTGGATAGCCGTGGCAGCATCGGTTCACATGTTAGAGAATCACTTTTCTTGCATCAGTTTCCAGTAAATTAGGAGGACTGTTCAGACTACAGGAAAACTGCAGTGTACAAGTACTACAAATACCAACACTGCTGCTGCTACTGCTACCACTACTACTGTACTGTAACTATTACTACTGATTCTGATACTGCTGCTGCTACTACTGTACTGCAACTACTTCAGCTTGTTCTGAAACTGTTACTTCTACTGATGTTGTCGATAAAAGGACTGTTTGAACACAAATTGATAAATTTTTCTGAGCTCATGCATTATGTATGAATTCAAATGAAGTAAAATCTCTGACCAGCCGGCAGCCAGTCAGTTTTGGGGCCCACTCTTCATGTTTGGTACCCTAGCAACAGTCAACATGAGCTTATTTTAACCCCAACTACCATGTTTCTGTAACCTTTACCAGGAAGTTTTAACTTAAACAAATTTGAACCACAGATCACTGACCATGTTCTCCGTAGGTGTTTACAATACAGTGAGGAACAGAAGTATTTGAACACCCTGCGATTTTGCAAGTTCTCCCACTTAGAAATCATGGAGGGGTCTGAAATTCACATTGTAGGTGCATTCCCACTCTGAGAGACAGAATTAAAAAAAAAATTTCAGGAAATCACATTGTATGATTTTTAAAGAATTTATTTTTCTTGCACAGCTGAACACCCGACCTCTCCCATCCTGGCCACTCTTTGTTCAACTTGCTGCCCTCTGGGAGGCAGTATAGGAGCATAAAAAGCAGAACAAAAAGACTTGCAAACAGCTTATTTCCCTGGGCCATTATAACCTTTAACTCTTCAATCCTATAAACAGATTGGAGGTTCTTTTTGTTTATTTCATTGTGTGTTTGTTAGTGTTTTGTGCGCTTTGTGTTTAATCAATTTTATCAATTGTAATTTTTACAGTTGTAGCTGACTTAAAACTCATTGTACTGGTACAATGACAATGAAGGCTTCTGCATTCTGCATTTTAAGTGGATGATAAGTAGGATCATCACTAAACAAAGGGGTGGTCTACAACACCACCAAATGCAGTCCTGACACATTCACAACTTGACTCATGTGAACCCCTTCCAGTTCTCGGGTAAGAGGTGAAATATCTTCAAGAATCTCAAACAAGTCCAGTGCCAACTTTAGCATGTTTGGATAGTCTGAGTTGTAAAGGTGTGATTGTCTCTCTCTCTCAGGACGTGAAGTGGATGGAGGAGAAGCAGGTGTTGTATCAGCACAATCAGGAGCTGGTGGAGAAGGTGAAGAAGATCAAAACACACAATCAATGTGACTTGAGGTGCTTTCACACAGTGACATGGCTGCAGAGGTGGTGGTGATGGTGGGGGTCTGCATCTCTTGAACACACACTCCACTGTGCTGCTGCTGTTGAAATTCATGATTGTTCAAGCTTTATCAGCGTGATACTGCAGCTGATAATTTTAATTGGCCACCTCTACTGGCCACATTGATGGCCAATAGAGGTGGTGGTGGTGGAGTTGCCATTTGTCAGAGACCATATTCAAGTGCATGAAAAACAGTACATACACAATGTAACTGGCCTTGAGTTCATAGCTTTGAAGGTTGAAGCCCCAGTGAGTGCACTCATTGCAGTTGTATACAGACCTCCAGACTACAGCTTGCCATCATTCCTGTCAAACCTGGGAAGCCTAATGGACGGACTTTAGATCATGGATTGTCACCTCCTCATTGTCTGTGGCGATTTCCATGGAAATCTTCTGTCTAATGCTAGCAAGCCAACACTGGAGCTGTTCACCTCCAGGGGATATGCACAACTCATCACCGCTGCAACTACAGAGAAAAACACACTGCTGGACCTCATTTTCATCTCATGACCACACCAGTGTGTCCACAGTGGTGTAATGAAAACTTATTACAGTTACCACAATCCCGTATATTGTGTATTGTCCTTTAACAGATCATGAAGAAGTCAGGTGAGTTTTAAGACAAGACCATGTAAATGAATTGTGTCTAATATTTATATTTTCAGTGCAGAGATTGATAAAATGGTTTTGCTGAAATGTATGTAATATACCTAGTGCATAACATTTCCTTTTATAAAGTATACCATGATGGCATATAGAGTTATTGAGAAAGATAACAGTTAATGAAAATCACTAACAAGAGAGTTCAATTTAGAAGAGTAAATTATGTAGATGTGCTCAGATAAAATCAAATACACTGTAGCATGATGACTGTGTTGACTAATAAGACTTTTGTAAAGGATATGAGGGAGGGATGCCAGAGCATCCCCAATTAAAAAAAAATGTTAGAACTTCATTTAACTTGCATTCTGCCTAAGAGCTGCTGACCTGCAAAGCACTGCTGTACCCTGTTATTGTCTCTGTTCTGGCACATTATCAGTTATTATATTAATATTTTCTGTCTATGTTCCTCCAAACAGTTAAAAAAAAGACAGGTAAATGCACTAACATGTCATACTTTTACAGTTTGTAGAATTTTAGTCTGTAGATTGAAACTTGGTTTGGCAATTACAGTATACATTTTAAGCGAAATGGATAATATTATGGTTCATGATTTTTTCTGATAACTAAATGGTTATTGGTAAGTATATGTTTCAAGAAAATGCAAAATATTATGGGTCACAATTTTTCAGGTAACTATATTAATATGAGCTATACATTCAGCATGGTTTGGGCTGTGCATTTATCAGGGTGGGTCAGGGTTAGGGTTGATAAGTGCACAGCCCAAAAATGAGTCATGTTCATGATGTAACTACCAGCTGACACTCTACATTTCACACTAACTTCTCTGGCAGGGTGGCTGACATAGTCAGCGTGTTTAAGTTTTCTTTTAGGTTTAGTTGGTTTTTTTCCTTCTTCTGTTTCTGCTTGTTTTCTCCGGGACTGAAAACACACTTCTCTCCTGTTCTCTATGATTCAACCTTCACCTCACCTCCTGCAGTACTCTGAGGATTAACGCAATCAAGACATTATGCTGCAACAGATCAAACACTGCAGCACTATCTCAACTGTCAATCAAAAATGGTCAAATCTGGACCACGCAAAGAAATGTGGTGCTTCCTGCTAGTCCCACTCATGTTTCAAAACAAAAGATGAGATAACTCTTGTTAACTTTTACGTCACCTTTCTTCTGGCTCTGCGTTGGAAAACCTCTCACCAATCAACACTTCATGCTGCCACAACTGGGGACTCATCACTGCCTCACCATACAGACATACAGAGGCATGTGTTTCTTCAAAATAGAACATAAGGTACTGTTATTATAAAGTTTTTTATTTTTATTTTTGAGCTACAAGTTTCACTCATCAGTACTTTTTAATTTAAAAAATTTTACTTTTGTTTTAATTGTGTTCATTTATCTATCCAGTGGTACAGCTATAGTGGTATTTACATTCACTTTTTTCTTCAGGTCCTCTGTCATCCCTACACTCCATAGTGTAGCTTTCCAAAATCATAGACTCCAGTTTATAACACAGTTTTTTTGTTTTCTCTTGTCAGGATGACCTCCATCACACTATCTCCATATCACAATGTGCAGATCCATTGCTCTACAGCGTTTGGTTCATTAGAGTCCAATCCCTGTTGCTCTTCAAGCAAGCCATCAGCAACACTGCTGCAGGAAACACAGCTACAGAGTCATTCAGAGTGTCGCCTGCTCTGTGCATCATCAAACTCCTCCCTAAACAAGTTTTAAAGGTATCGGTTTTATTATTTTACTCCCTTTGTAAAGATCAAAATAAATAACAAAAACAATGTTGAAATTCTTGTTTGCATTTATAATTACAGTTATGCCAGAAATAAAGATTCTCACTGTTTTTCTTTTCAAGGCCTTTGCCCACTATGCCACTGCTGTGATGCTGTCCTCACACCAAACTTTGACCAGACAACTGAAAGCAGAGGTTCACAAGCCACTTCAGAAGCCAGAGGTGTTGAAAGCACTTTACGTGCTCACACAGACACTGTGCTCTCTCCGTTTGTGCTGATGATGGACAGATTCAGCATACAACAGCAGGGCAGAAAACACTACTGACCCATGCACAAAATGAATACTCTCTAGAAGAAAATGACAATTTAATTTAGTACTTTAAAATACTTCACTCTTGACTTTAATCTCTATCTAAACAAAGTGTTTTTTTGTTTGTTTTTGTTCTATAACAGTTCATTCCCTTTATTTTCACTTGATCCATTCTGCCTGCCTTTTTCTGTTTTCTAATCAACAGTTAAAGGAAATACAGGGAAAATGGATGAGTTAGTTTAGTTACTGCATGCAAAATGAACTACGTAACCCAGATGAAATGACCAGTTTTTAAAAATAGTTCTCATTACGGTGGAGTGTCAGCTGGTAGCTATGTGAAAGGCTTTTCACATTTGTGTGCTTTAGCCTTGGAGTAATTTAAACCCTTGGTATACACAACAGATACATATATACTGTAACAATAACTGAAATGTAAACCATTTCACATCATGAAATCTATGCTCAGAATCTTCAGTCTTCACAATGCCAACATCACTATGATTTGATTGGAAACAATTTTCCCCATGGTGGTCTTGACTGTCAGTCCATGGCTAATGAATCTGTGAACTAATGGCGTATTAGCCCAGGTCTAACTATAATGTGAAAAGCCTTTGATGGTAGGACTCAACAATATTTAAAATAATTCAAATTGTAATAACTCTGTTGATCAGATTTTTTTTAAGTTATGCGTACAAATTTCACATTTTAAAATTTCTGCTTTCACAAGGTTGTCTCTAAACTAGTATTTGGCATAAAATATATTACTGTCACAGCTGTGGCTGGTACCTCTGGTACCTTCGCCCCCTCCCGTGCCACAAATCAGACTCTGTGACGAGCCACAACGGACACACCTGCGATCAATCAGGCTACCTGCTCCTAAGTGGGATGCTGGCGTGTTCTCATTGCGAGTTTGTCACTTTACACTCACCTGGAACCTACAGTATCTCCTTGCCACATGCAGTTCTGTGTTTCTGCAGGACAGACACAGACATGAATCAATGGATCTCTTGACAACTCGCTGTTCTCTGTGCTATGCCTGGTCTGCCCTGTATCATCGTCTCCTCTCCTGGCTACAGACTATCCCGGTGGGTTACGGCGGATCACTCTGTTAGCCTCCTGTCCACCTGTACTGTCACACTACCTCCAGCCTGAGAACACCAGCTCCTCCTCCCTCCATCTGACTTCAGCCAGCCCCAGCACCTTCACTCTGGACATTGTGTCTCCCCCTGCTCTGTGGTACAGTCTCTTCCCTATTCAACATCCGGTTTCTGTCCTCCTCTATATACCAGCTATTCAATTGACTTTAGCTGTTATCTGTGACACCTGTTGAGTGGATATTGGGCTAAATCTTCTGTTAAGCAAGACATCCTGCTTTTTGGTCTCTGAGTTCGAGTGTTGCATTTGGGTCCTACTCTGGTGCTTCATATGGATCGTATCATAACAATTACATTGCGTCACTGCTCTATTTTGACACACCTGCTGAAAATTCACAAAAGTGATCAACATATTATTCATGCACTTTGCTTTTTGTATATACAGCCATTACCTAGTACCCAACTCCTATAACCAGTCACTGCTCTATTTTGACACACCTGCTAAATCTTAATGAAAACAAAATGGAGTGTGTGTTGCTTGGTGACCCAGGTACCATATCTGTCTTTGGCCAGGGTCTTGGTCCCGTGGCTCCACGGCTCCACATCTGAAGACTACTGTAAAAACTTAGGAATGACATTTCATAGTGAGTTGATATTGGATAAGCAGATCAACTCAGTTGTGAAATCGAGCTTCTTCCAAATGAGAAGTAAAGTCAAGTTATTCCTTTTTTCAATGATTATGAATTTGTGTCCATGCTTTTATTGTACTCAGGTGTCAGTCATCCCTCTCTCACTTTGAGATGGTTCAAAACACTGCTGCTTGTTTTCTGATAAATACAACCCAACCCATATAACCCAAGTTCTGGCCTCTCTTCGCTGACTTCCAGTCTGTTTTCAAATTGTTATAGACCTGGCAGCTTTAACCACATTGCTTAAGACATTCATTCATTCATTCATTTACTATGGCTTTTAATAGACTGTGTCAAACCGCACTATTTAATCAAGGACCTTTTTGTTTTGCAAGTGTGATAATGTATTTTCTATGTTCTTATATTTTTTGTTTATCATGCTGCACAGTTTTGTGTGTTTGATAAAATTAAAATTTAAGTTTTATTTAATTTTAGTTTTTATTTCTTTGAGTTAAAATGGGTCCAAACCTCCATTACAGCTTGGTTTTTAAATTTATTGTGTGAATGCAGATTTTCTATGCTGCTCCTATTTGTTTTATTTTTGCATGGTTTTAAGTGTTTCATAAAGAACCAATGACAGTTAAAGTCAACATTTTAATTTTATTATAAGTTTCTTTAGCTTAAATTAAAATGGTTCAACTTTACAGGTGGAGTTTGGTTTTGCAAGTACCATTTTGATACATTT